TAGAGGCTGGGCAGTAAAAGGCTGAAAAGACTGACTTCCTTGCTCCCGACTCTAAGTACCTCTGAAGCTACTGTCCTACTGGGGTGAAACACCCGGAAGTTGAATCCTGTTGATCTTACCTGAGGACCAACTCTTAACCATGAGAAATGGCTCTCTGGGATTGAGGATTCAGTTTGACTCTGAAGCCAAGAGAAGAAGAAATAAGATCTCATGTTGCATTAAGAGCAATTGGTTTTCTGGTTCTCAATTCAAGGGTGTCCCCCATCTTGGGCTTTCCCTGTCCTTTCTTCCTTGGTAGAATTCTGACTTCATCTTGAATATTCCCCAACCCAGCTTTGAGTCCCTGGCATATCTGATATATACACAGTCAATATCTACTTATATCAAACAGTATACAATTGAGGCTCCTAAAATACAGGTCACCTGTGGAAAAGTGATCTAAACCCTGGTTGGTCTGACTTGGAAACCTAATCCCCCTCCCACATCTGAGACCCTTCTAGGATGAGTGGTTAGCAAACCCTTCAAGCCAAGTAGCTTCCAGACTGCCAGGTAGGGACAGGGCCCAGGTGAGTATATTGATGGTATTATGCCTGACACACTTTCAACCAAGGCCAGGAAAGGCTGGTTCCACAGCACCAGTCACATCTCCCAACAGGCAGCACTCATCCACACAGGGCAATAAAAACCTCTCCTTTTCAAGGTTATGAGGGTCCACAGAGATGGCAAAAGTCATTGCTGAGCTCAATCCCTGATAAATGAACATTATTGTACTGCGTTGCTGTCAACTAGTTTTGCCAAGGTAGAGCTGGCCAGTACCTAGGTCGTGGTGAAAGGCATTTCAAACCTGGAGGAAGCTCAATTCTGTTACCAGCAACTGCATTCTATGGGAATGAGACAGGGCTAAGCTGAGGAAAATCAGGAGTACAGCTAAGCAGACATGAACACAGCCCAGGGCCAGAAAGGGCAGAATCTGTTGGATCCTGAGAAAGCAAAGTGAGGTGTGTGAATAAAGCCCCCAAACAGCCTCACCAAACATTCACTGCCAAGGTCTGTGGCAAAGGAAACAAGAAGCCACCTCAGGGTAGGGATCTGAGGGCTTGGTCTGGGGCCCAGACCAGATGGGGCTGAGGTAAAGAGCAGAACCAGGGCCCATGTGCCCAGCAAGCTGTGCCAGCCCAGCCCATGCCAGCCCAGCCAAATCTGAGTTATATCAGGAGAAGGGATCTGTTCAGAAAACACCCAGCTCCGCATATTTGCATATTCTATTTTGGGGTCTCTCTTCCTCCCCCCCACCCCAGCTTCCTAGAAAAGTTCTCGTGATCAATTCCAACTTTACCTCTGTTGAACTGCAAATGCTCACCCAATCCCATCTCCTCTCCAATTACCACCCCCTCCCTCACTAGTAAGGTTTCCAGAAATCTCTAACCTCTCTGCCTCCATTGCCCACTTAAAAAATATATATGTCTTTATTATTTTTATGTGTATGAATGTATTGCCTGCACATGTGAGTGCACCCATGTCGTGCAATGCTGTCCTGGAGGTCAGAAGAGGGCTTCCGTTTCCCCTGAAACTGGAGTTAAGGATGGTTTGTAGCTGCCATGTGGGTGCTGGGAATCAAACCCAGGTCCTCTGCAAGAGCAGTCAGTGCTCTTAACCGCTGAGCCATCTCTCCAGCCCCCACTGCCCACTTCTTATTCAGGCTTAAACTCTGCAACCTAGCTCTGGATCTGTTTAACATCTCCCCAAGGTCACCAAAGCACAACTCCCCAAGTTCAAGATCAGTCTTTCTGATTCTAGGCTTGCCTGGCATCTGACTTCACTAACCATGCCCTTTGTCCACTTCCTTCTGTTCCACTTTGGTGACTCCTGTCTCCCCCCTTCCCAGAAACATATTTCCCTTCCACATCTCTGACCTAAGAGTCATCATTTCCCATAAAGCTTAACTCCTTTGTGGGTGCCTATTTTCTTCCACATTTTCCTGAAAAGATGACTTACCTCCTCACTTGAGGATGTTGGCCCCATCTTGAACTTTAAGCTTCCAATAACTATTTCAGCTCAAGGATATCTTACTATCTACAGGATGTCCCTGCCTGGCTCTCAGGGTATCTCAAGTTCAACATGCCTAAAACTGGCCTTGCATTCCATAACCCCAGTCCCTTATTTTTGCAGCATCACCAGCTACCCATCCTGCCTCCTCCCTCTCCCCGCCCAAGATTTGGTCTGTCCTTTATACCCCACATCCCTCACCCCACCCAGCTCCCCTGCTGCAGCTCTGGTTGAGGCCCCTACCATTTCCCATCTGGAGATAATGAACCTTCTCACTGGCTACCCATCCTGTCTCACTTCCCACAAACTCAGCCTCCACACAGCTGTCAGATTATCTCACATACAAATCTGGCCCCCCATCCCCACCCCACTGTCCTGCATAGATACTCTAGGGGTACCCTACCCTCTGGATAAAACCAGAGCTGCCCAGCCTGATGACATCCCTCAGCCCTCCCCACTGCAGAGGCCACAGCAGCTGCAGGAAGAGCACAGCTTTGGAGTCAAACACCAAGTTTCAAGTTGTCCACTTTCTAACCTTGAGATTGCTGACAGATCTCCCTTTTGTACCTTGGTGTCTCCATATGTTCAATGGTGATGTTAATAGCACTCTTTCCCAAAGACTGGGAAATCACAGATCAATTTTCATCACAGAAAGTCTCTCTCTCCACTCCTTTACTGTCAGACTAGGCGTGTTAGTTCAAAGTGGCCTACTGTCTCAACTTCTTCATAAGTCTCCCTCCCCCAAACTTGTCCCAGCCCCAATCTACTTACCAAACAGAAGTCAAAGTGACCTTTCTAAAATGCAAATCTGACCCCCCAGTTAAAAGTCTGCCTCCCTATGGTCCCTGGCCATGCTCTCCATCCCAAAAGATCCACAGGGACAACATTCCTTCTCCATTCCCAGCCACTCAGCACATGGATCTCCCTCTCTGTCCATTCCTTCTGACCTTTCCAGTCTAGCTCTAAGGCTATTTTCTCCAAGCAGCTTCTCTTCACATACATGCATACCCCTAATCTAAACAAGCTCCCTTCCCCAACAGTCACCCACCCCAACCTTGGACTTGTCTGCCCGTTTTCATCAGGATATAGTGTTGACAGCTTTGTCTCACCAATGACACAGCTCTTTGTGAGTGAGGATACCACGTTTACCTGGCACATAAGGTCAATGTTTGTTGAAAGGGTGAGAGGCACAATGGTGAGGAAGGAGTCCCTGGCCATGGAAAGCCCCAGGCTTAGTGGGGGCACTTATCAGACCCAACATATACTATTTAAAATATGACCACAGGAAGCAAAGCCAAAGTGCCAGGCCCCTGGAGGAAGGACCCGACAAACAAGGGAAACTGTGTTTAGCTCAATTCTGGGAAGGTGTAACTGGTCTCAGGAGTTAGTTCCAGAGACAACAAAGTTACCCTTAACTTCCACTGAAGAATAGGGTAGGTGAGCTCAGGAGCCCCATCAACTGTGAAAGGACTTAGGGACAGATTAGGTTGCCAAAGACTAGAGATCAGCTCTAGGCAAGCTTTTTCAAGGGGACAGAAAGGGCAGTGTCAGTCTTATTTGACCACCACAGGATCAGGAGGATGGCACTGGTCTTTGTTTCTACCACAAACAAGCAAGAGACACTGGGTTCAAAAACAGCTTTCTGGTCTTGCTCCCAACCACAAGGCAGACATCCAGGCGGATCACTGAGGCACAAAAGGCTTGGTATCAAGAGGCCTGGAGTGTTTGGAGTCTTCTCTGCCAATGCAAACACCTTTCAGCATCAGTCCAGGATTGCGTGGGAAATGTGGAGACTTTAAAAATCTTGCAGACATAAAGAACAACGGGCTGCTGGAGCTGTATCTGGAATAGTGGATTCTTCTGAGTGCCTCCCTTTAAGACTATCACTGGCAGAATGAAGCGCATACCAAGAGAATAACAGGATGTGTTGAGGACCAAAATCAAAGGGCATATCAAAGGGACATGATCTAACACCCCTCTCTGTAAGTCACTAAAGCCCTCCTGTGGAGAACAGGGCAAAAAGGAGATTAAGCAGTGTACTCTTGGAAAACTTTCTGTCTCAAGAGGAAATAAGCAGGGGCCAAATGGCCATGTCTGGAGATGGTGTGGATGGAATGTCCACCAAGGCGAGGACAGGAACAGACCTCTGAGCTCCTGCCCACCCAGGTCAGTTCAAATGAATCCAAGCATTTTTTTTCCTAATAAAGTATTTGAAGCATGTGAAACCCACTTTGTCAACTTGGGCATGTCTGTGATGCTGCAGGGAATGCCACAGGGAACACTGTGCCAAGGGGAACAAGAGCATAAGCAGATGGAGAAGCAGCTGGGGGGCTGTGTCCTCTTCAGTATTAAAGCTCAGCTCTGTTCACATTACTGTTGTCTAGCATTGTTATTTAACTCTCTTGTATTTATGCCTTCAGGACACAGGAGAGAATCCTACCTCCTGGCACAGCTCTGAGGCCTGGATTTAGGTGTCATCACAGAATGGACATCAAAGGATGTCTGGAAAGGCCAGGGCAGGGGCAAGGAATCATTTGGAAAGCAAGCTGCTCTCTCCTGCCCCATGGAAGTTCACCTGGCCACTCCCTAGACTCCCTGAGATGTCCCTAGACTGTGGACGTCTCAGAAGCAAGAGTCTCTCCTGGCCACATTTGTAACATAGTGGCTATCTTAAAGATTGGATTATATCCCTGGCTCCAACCTTGGTTAAGTCCCAAGGCTATCATACTCCAAAGTACCAAAGAATCCAGAAGCTTTGCTAGAAACTTGTCTCCAGGGTGAACGTGGGTTATCACATAGTACCCCATGATGTAGGTCTTAAACCCTCTACCAAGGGCCCAAACCTGGGGGCCAAATGATCCTTGATGCCACAGCACCAAGACCATACACCTTGCTTGCCCCAATCCCTCCACCACTTCAGATAAGCCAGGGAGGCCAAGCACTGGACAAAGCAGGAAAAGTTGACTGTCAGCTATATTGGGGAGGGGAGAGCTGGAAGCACCTTCACAAGTGCCTTCAAATGGAAACAGCCACTGCAACTTGCTGGGGGCTGCGGAGTAGGGAGTTCATGGGGCTCCTCCAGCAAAGATGAGTTCCAAGGCTGCTTGGATGTCCCCTCCAGTGGCCTGTAGGGCCCGTAGGCTCAGCTCATCATCCTGGATGCCCATGTCACGCAACTGCTGCAGCTGGGGCTGCCACTGGCTCTGTGAAAAGATAGAACAGGCAAAGGTGTTAGCTAGGTTTCTAATAAAGCCTCATAGACCAAGGGGTTATGTTTACTGGGTAGAAAGGAAGTTAGGAGACCCATAGCAAAGCTCAAGGTCATAGGAGGGGGGGTTTCAGAAAGACTAAAGGATATGCTTGAAGGTGAAGAGAACAAACTCAAAGGCTTACAAGAAAAAGAAATCAAAACAGAAACCACAAATCAAATGAGAAGGCACAAATTATTCAATGCCTATGTCATGCTTAGCCTCAGTTCTCAACTTGACATGCCTGAGAGAATTTCCTCTATCAGACTGGCCTGTGTGCATGTCTGTGAGGCATTTTTTGGTTGTTTGAGCAATGTGGAAGGGCCCAGCCCACTATGGGTGGTACCACCCCTGGGCAGATAGACCTGGGTTACATAAGAAAGCAGGCTGAGCCTGGGCCAGGAAAGCAAGTCAGTAGGCAGCATTCCTCCGCGGCCCCTGCTTTGGCTGCTACCTCTAGGTTCCAGGCTTATCTTCCCTCAGAGATGAGCTGTATAAAGAATGTAAGCCAAATAAACTCTTCCCCAAATTGGTTTTGGTCACAGTGTTTTTATCACAGCAACAGACAGCAAAGCTAGGAAACTAGAAAGAAGCCATCGGGAGGCAATGACTTAAGAGAGGGGATAGTAGAATGTAGGTAATATCAAAGTGTGGGGGGTGGTATTGGAAAGGTTTAAGCAGGGAAATGATGAAGGGCCAGGGGAGACAAGAGAGTGGGGGAGAGGGTTACCCAAAATAAAGGGGGTATGAAAAAGCCATATGGAAACCTACTATCTTTTAACCAAATTTTAAAAACCTGTTTACATTTTTTATTTATTTTTATTTTACATGTATGAGTGTTTGCCTGCATGTATGTAAGTGCACCCATGTCATGCAATGCCCGTGGAGGTCAGAAAAGGGCAGATCCCCTGGAAATGGAGTTAAGGGCAGGTGTTAGTCACCATATGAGTGCTAGGAATCAAACCTGGGTCCTCTAGAAGAGCAGTAAGTGCTCTTAACTTCTAAGCCATTTCTCCAGCCCTGAAAAAAAAAAAAAAAACCAATTTTTTTTTTTTTTTTTGTAATTTGAAGAGAGAAATTTTACAGAAATTGGAAACAACCTAGATGTTCATTAACTGATGAATGGATAATGAGGGCGTGGTACATATGAATGGAACTGGAAACAAATCATCCTGAATGAGGTAACCCAGACTCAGAGAGACAAACATCACCATGTTCTCTCTCATGCCGAATATTAGCTTTGAAATCTTAGATATACATGTTTCAGTCTGAAAATTCAGAAAGGTCAATAAACTAATAAATATCCATGGGTTGGCAGGGTGGAGGCTTCCTGGAAGGGGCAGTAGAATGCAGTGATATGAAGAGGAAAGGGGAACATTAGATTAGGAAGAGTTAAATGGGGTAGGGAATGGGAGAGCAGGGCAGAGGAGAGAGTATAGGGAGGGATAAGTATCACTAAAGGCCTTTAGAAAAAGCCATATTGAAACCTACCACTATAGAAGCTTCTTAAGGTATATACATATACATCCTAAAAGGAGATATCCTATAAGAGAGGGACATTGCCCTTTCTAGATATCATAAGCCAATGAAAAAAAAAAAAAAAAAAAGACTTCAATGCCAGGAATGGACTCCCTCTCCAGAAGCTGTTGACCAGGGGTCTCACAGACCCTCAAACAACACTGGTCATTGCCCTTGCTCTTCGTTACCTACTAGAACAGGATGGTAAAATCCTATTGCTGAAGACACTACATACATAAGCTGTGGAACAAACAAGGAGAAATCAACTGGTACTGACTTCAAAGCCTCATCTGTACTAGCTAGTATTCATAGTGTTGGAAGGTGCTGTGCATGCTACTAGAAGGAAAAAATAGTATCAACCTTACCCAGTTACAAATACTGTGAACTACAATAACAACTGGCCTGGCAAGATATGCCCACTGATGGATTATAGTGGCACAAATATTATGGAAGTAACCAACCACTCTTTAATTGGATTTAAGGTCCACTTTCTAGGATGGAGCTCATACTTAACATTGACATCAGGTTTAGGAACCTGAGGTTAGACGCATCACAGGACATAGGGAAGAACTTAATAGTAGTTTTCTACCAAATAGTTATTGTATTAAACTGACCCTTAATGACTTACTGTTATACTCATAGATTAATGCATCTCTCAACTCTCACTAGAGAAATTTCTCTAAAACAGATGGTGATTTAGCGCAGAAACCCACAACTGGCCCAACACGCAGAAAACAAGAGACTACAGAATGCTTATCCCTGAATAGATCACCTATATCAAACTTCTGCCTCCTAAGGCTCAGGGATCGTTGCGGAAGAGGGGCTGGAAAGATTGGAAGACCCAGAGGTGGTGAATGACCATAAGAAAACAATTTTCCAGACAGCTGGTCAGTTACTCATATGAACACATGGCAATGGTGACAGCATGTACAAGTTCCATGTAAGCTCAAACCAGAAAAAAGTTCCAGCATAGACATGAGGAAGGGGGTAAGAAACTCCAATTCCAATAGGTTAGTCCAGGGGATGGACTCACACTGAAGGACATTTGGGGGCACAAACTGGACTCTATAGGTCTTATATATATAGTAAGAGTACATTAAATTGGGCAGGGGGCAATAATGGGGGGTGGGGATAGGGGAGGATCTAAATAGCATTATATTGTATGAAAATTGCAAAAATTCAATTTTTAAAAATCATAAAATTTTTTAAATTTTTATTTAAAAAAATTTTTTGCAGTGCTCAGGAGGCAGAGGCAGGCAGATCTCTGTGAGTTCAAGGCCAGCCTGGTCTACATAGTGCAGAAGTGCGATGGGATCATCCTACCTGGAAAATAAATTCTATCCAAAAGGCCATAAATAAATAAATAAAATTAATAAACAAACAAACAAATAAATAAATTTTTAAAAAAATGTTCCCAGAAGCTAAACGAAAACCTCAGTGCCAGAGATGGGATACCACCTAAGGAGTTAATCGATCAGGGAGGCCCTAAAGGTCCTGAAAACAATACAGGATCTTGCCACTCCTCTTGGGTGCCCACCAGAACTAGAAAATAAGGCTCTACTGCTTAAAATACCACACACCTTGGCAGCATGACACAGAGAAATGGAGCTGCAACTTGGCTGGAAGCTTCCTCCCTGATAGCTTTCATAGTCCCAGAAGGTGCTATGCAGGCTACTGGGAGGTGGGTGGGGAGGGCATCCATCTATGAACCCTATAAGCTCTGAGACCAACTTGCCAGGCAAGAGTGCCCATTTCTTCAATAGTGGCACTACAATTAGAGGGGTAACCAGTTACTCTACAATTTGCTTTGAAGCTGCTCCAAAGGAGGGAATCCATGCCTGGTGCTATAAACCTGAACAAACCCTTGCTCAGGGAGAGCATAAACTCTAGAGAGGAACTGAATATGCATTAAACTGCCTTCTAAATATTTGTTTATACCCAAAGCCATCAGATACTGTCAGCTTTAATCAAAGAAGTGTCTTTCCAGTAAATGGTAGTAAATGCAGAGACTCAGGCTGCACAGTGATGAGGTTAAGTGGATGAAGGATCAGCCCTAAAACAAAACATTTCTACCATCCCTTCTAAGATTCAGAGAACACTGTAGAAGGGGTGTGTGTGAAAAGAATGAAAGACAGAAGAGAAGAGGAAGAGCTGCAAGATACCATCCTCTGTCCAAGACACAGTCATCACAGCATGAACTCAAAGCAGCTGTGAATGCCTGCACTGACTGGGTCTGCACAATAGGCCCATCAGGACTGATGAAATGGCTCAGTGGGTAAAAGTACTTGCCCTGTAAATCTGACAATCTGAGTTTGATCTCCGGAACTCACACAAGGGTAGAAGATACACACATAATAAATTTTTTTAAATAGGCCACCAACAGTTAGGCATGAATGGAGGAGAGGTTCAGGAGGCCCTATTCCTCACTACTGAACTATCTGGTATTGAGAGACTCAAGATGAGGGGGAGTCATTGCCTTCAGTTGTGTATCCACTGGTGGCCCCACTAGGCTCCAATGGATAGTTCCAATCTAATGCTCACATACATGGCCTGGTTAAACCAAATGGGACACAAAACCAAACCAAAAGTGATGAATCTGGGAAAGGGACCGGTGAGGATGGGGGATGGAGTTTGATAAGGATGGGAAGGAGAAAAGAATGGGGAATAAGAAGAATATATTATATACGTGTAATAAAATTAATCAAGAAAAATAAATATATTTTTAAATTTTTTTCTTTTCTTTTTGGATTTTTGAAACAAAAGCTCATACAGGCCAGGCTGGCCTCAAATTCATTATATAACCAAAGATGGCCTTGAATTCCCAATCCACCTGCTTCCACCTTCTGAAAGCTGATTACAGGCACATGCCACCACACCCAGCTTAAAAGATTGGTTTGTGGGGCTGGAAAGATAGCACAGAGGTTAAGAACACTGACTGTTCTTGCAGACAACCCAGGTTCGAATCCCAGCACCCACACAGCAGCTAACAACTGTCCATAACTCCAGTTCCAGGGGATCCAACAGTTTCTTTTGTCCTCCGAGGGCACTGCATGATACAAGTGCACTTACCTACATGCAAGCAATACACGCATACACATAAAATAAAAATAAAAAATTTTAAAAAATTTTTAAAAGATTGGTTTGTTGTCGGGGCTGGAGAGATGGCTCAGTGGTTAAGAGCACTGACTGCTCTTGCAGAGGACCCGGGTTCGATTCCCAGCACCCACATGGCGGCTACGAATCATCCTTAACTCCAGTTCCAGGGGAACCCAACACCTTCTTCTGACCCCCTGCGGCACTGCATGACACAGGTGCACTCACATATATGCAGGCTATACACTCATACACATTAAATGAGAATAATAAATAAAAAGAATTAAAAAAAAGATTGGTTTGTTTTGTTTTGAATATTTTATTTTTATTTTATATGTATGAGTATATTGTCTGCATATATGTAAGTGTACCTGTGTCATGCAATGCCTGTGGAGGTCAGAAGAGGGCACTGGATTCCCTGGAACTGGAGTTACAGATGGTTGTTAGCCATCATGTGGGTGCTGGAAATCAAACCTGGGTCCTCTACAAGACCAGCCAGTGCTCTTAACCACTGAGCCATCTCTCCAACCCACCAGCTTAAATGTTTTGTTTAATATGATAGGTAGTACAAAGTCTTAGCAACTTCTCACCCCACTCCAGATAACTAATTGTAACTTCCTTTGATAAAATATATGCTATTATATTTGCTCTTCCCTTTTCCACATCTACCCACCCCGTACCCTAATATTTTCACACATAATTAAATTATCTTGGTGATCTTTCCATGCTAGTATACAAAGAACTTTATTTTTTAGTCTTTCATAGGTCAGCCTCAAACTCCTGCCTCAGCCTTGCACATCCTGAGATCACAGATGTGCACCACCATGCCTGGCTCGAAAGAACTTCTTAGTAACATGATACTCCCATGATTGTACTTAAGTGTAACCAAACTGGGCTGTTGCCAATATTTTGCCATTACAAACAATGCTGCCATGACTGTTACAACTGTCATTTTCCACAAATACCTCCAGGACAACTTCTAAGAAATGGGAATGCTAGGAATTATGCAGCTTAAAAGCCTTCTGTACTTCCTTTTCAGTGAACAGTCTATTCATATCCTTTCCTACTTTTCTATCGGTGACTGGTCTTAAATTTCTAGAATTTCTTTACTTAAGGAAGACTGTGCCCTTTGGATGATAGGTGTTACAACTTTTACTTTATTTTACTGTTAGTCTTAAAACTTTTTGCTTGGCTTTGTTCTTGATTTCTTTTGGCTCTGGTGTTCCAGGAATAAATCATCACTTTTACAAACTCAAAACTTGGAACTGTTTTAAGGTAATGGCTTCTCAATTCTGAGTTTCAACCATGACAGGCCTTCTCTGCTGTAAGATTTGAAGAAAGTCACCCACATTTTCTTCTAGTACCTTCATTAATCCCGCTCATCACAGGAGGGAAATGCACACTTACAGAGAACTGCACACATGTGGGAAGGAACAGGCAGTGAGGAACAACTGCAAATGTGAGAGGCAGGCAGGGTAAGGCTGTAGAAGGCTGAGAAAGCTCAGGCATCACCTCAGCTTCATTTTACAGCCAGCAGAGTCAGTGAAGCCTTGGAGCCACAGGGTTCAGTGAACAGGCATTCAGCTGGGGAAGACAAAGTATAGCAAGAGCAAGCCGTCCACTTAACCTGCACCTTTCCTTCTCACCGTCCATGAGAGTCACATGTGCTAGTGAAAACCACACAGGTTTGAACCCTGTGTTTATCACTTCAAACGAGTTCAAGGAATGATGCTCCCCTCACAGCTTACTATGACTAATAGAAGCAGGCTAAAGCAAACAGTTCATGCATGAAGGTATGACATACAATGCTGATGCTTTTAAGTCTCCCACTTAGCTACTAGGGTGACCTTCCCTCCCAAGCTCCCTAGTCACTACTAGATCAAATCTAATCTCCTTAGATTGGTATTCAAGGCCCTTCACACTCAGGTTCCTGGTCTTTCTCTGACCACATCTCAATGTTCTGTGCTATGACACTACATTTTACCCATATAGTTTTGAGTATGTCACACACACACACACACACACACACACACACACACACACATCTGTTCAACTAGGTAGTTGTTTCTGCCTGGAAATTATCCACAAACACCCTCCACAAACACCTATACCCTGACAGGCTAACCTCTAACTAACCCTCTATCAATCAGCTTAAATATCTCTTTCTCACAAGTTTTGCCTGACCTGGGCCCTTACCTCAAGTAGCTGAGCTTCTTGCCAAGATGCTTCCGAAATCTGTACCTGCCTAGTATCCCTCCATGGCAGGGATGAGGCCTGGCTCACTCTGAGCTCCAGCATCTAAACCCAGATCCAATAATATGTCTGCTTGCTGCTCAGTCAATGCTCACTGAATGAATGAATGAATGAATGAACAAATGAACTAAAACTGCCACATAGTCAGGAGTCAAGCCACAGTCACTGGTGGCAGGAATTAGAAACCTCAAGAACAACTGCTTTTGCTGGGAAGGCTCACCTGTCACACTGCCATTAGTTTTTCTCAATGTTTCTAGAATGAAGCACGCCTAGAGAGAAGGACCTCCAGTGTGCAGAAAAAGGTTCAGTATTCTAAACAACAGGGACGCTACACAGAAGCCTGAGAATGGGAAGACTCACCTGAAGGTTGGGCTGCCCAGATGCCTGCAGGGCATGCTGGAGGGCTTGGCTGAAAAGATCGTTGGTGATGGGTGTCCCTGACTGGACACCAGAGGACATTGGTGAAGTCCCCGAAGAATGGCCCTGAATTCAAACAAGTAGTCAGTGCTGCCCTTAGAGCCATCTCAATCTCACAAGGATACTGCACTCACATGACCCCTCACTACTCCTGGGGTACCTAACTACTACCTCCTAACAGAGGCCTGTCATGAGACAATCACACTAATTATGGGGTACCTAAAAGCAATTAAATATGGGTAGGAACGGTTCCTTTCCCTTCTACTCCAGAGAAATGAACTCTTGAGTCTCCAGGCCCAGTCTAGACCTAGTATTAAGACAGAGAGCCTTAGAAGATGGAGTGACTCATCTCCAGGAATGCTTAATCCAGTGGTGTCTAGTCCCTAATGGGGATTTTTTAAAAAAGGAGAAACCAACACTGGATTTCTGAGCCCTAAAGGCAAATAAATGAAAGGGAGGTCACCTGAACTTCAGTGAGAAATTCCTACAAGGGCTCCAGGGTTTAGCTCAAACCAGATCTAGCATCATGGTCAGCAAAGGTAAATCTATTCTGCTACAGGAAAGAGTCTTCCTTGGCAGCCTAGCCTTAATGCTCCCACCCCTCTCCTCCATACCTGAGTGCCAGGAGTTGGTGTGTGAGAACTGCTCTCTGGAGTACTGGCCAGGGCCAGGGCAGTGGCCAGCTCACTCTGAGTGATGGGCCGGGGCCCAGCAGCTCCACTGTATCCCAGGGATGCTGGGCGTGAGCTGGGTGTACTGCTAGAGGGCGTAGACCGGGTACTCTGGAAAACAGAGGTACCCATTATTAGGAGAAATGGCACTGTAACAATCCCAAAAGAACCATATCCCACTTGCTTTAAGAGTTCTCAGGGAGACTTCCTAAGCTCCCGTGTTTCAAAAGGAATAATATGAGATAGTTTTGGCCCTTACTTCTTAGCTTTGGGAATGCCAGGTCCTAAGGAGACTCTGGTTCCCAGGACCACCTCCCCCAAGGGGCAAGCATCCAGGCCACTTACTGGGTGAAAGTCATCCTCCTCATCTGAGAGCCCTTCAAACAGGAAGCCACCTGGAAAAGAGTGAACAGATTTCAGGAAGAAGAACAGAAAGGCACAGGCGCAGCTCCAGATCTCAGCTCAAGTCACTCTCCAAATTCGTATTTCATCTTTCCCCTTGGAAAATTACAGGACAGATGCACTTCCTGACTCAAACTGAGAGTTCCCAAGGAACACACTCTGCCAACACTATACATAGTTGCTGAGTAAAGCAAATCCCTGGGCCACTACCAGTTCCTGAGGGGCCTATGCTGCACTCTGCTGGGCCTCACCTGGCATATCTCGGTATGAGCTGGAGGGCATGCTCCGTGAAGAGGACTCAGCTCCTGGCATTGGGGTGCTGCCTGCTACCGAGTGCAGAACCAGGATGATAGCATTGACTAGGGCAGGGTGAGCAGGCACCAATCTAGAAGAGGGGCAGGAAGAAATCCAAGAATGACTAAGAAGGAAAGAGCATCCTTGTCCTTGACAGTCTGGGTATCCATTAAAACAACAGAGATACTGTGCCTGCCCTTGAAATACTCAATCTTAGGCATCATTTTATTTTGCTTTGTTTTGGTTTCTGACTTTGAGACAGGGTCTATGTAACCCTGGCTGGCCTAGAACTTGCTCTCTAAGCTGAAAATCCATCACACACACATGTATGCATGCACGCACGCACACACACACACACACACACACACACACTCTCTCTCTCTCTCTCTCTCTCTCTCTCTCTCAGGCAAACAAGACTACAAGCAAGGCATGATGGGAAATGGAAATGTACAGTCTGGTAGGTGTAGGGTTCAGTGCCAGGTCCAGATACCTGGGCAACCTCTGGTGGCTCCCTTCTCTTCCCAGGGCTGTTTTCTTCACTTGCAAAGTAAGGGAACACAGCCTCTGTTGTCCTTTCAGCACTAATACTTTATGGACCTATATAACCTACATTTACTCATCTACTTTCTGTAGCTTAAAATCTTTCAAAGGCTCTGACATTTACTGAACGAAATTTACCTGGCACACAAATGTCTCTATCCGTTTTTTTTTTGGGGGGGGGTCTTTTTGAGACAGGGTCTCCCTGTAGTCCCAGCTGTCCTGGAGCTCACTATGTAGACCAGGCTGGCCTTGAACTCACAGAGATCTGCCTGCCTCTGCCTCCCAAATGCTGGGATTAAAGGCATGTGCCACCGCGCCCGGCTCCAAATCTCTCTATCTTAACACACTGCTTCATCATGACACTCTTCATATGCCCCTGCCCCTGGGCTTTGCTGTTCCTCAAGCAGCCCTTGCTGTTCTTTACCTCTTGACATATTTAGACAGCAGACCTCCAGAGAGAATGAACCTAGGCTCCAAGAAGAGACCCCACGGAATTAAGTTTCTAGCCTGACCACATGAAAAATTAAAGTACCCTCTGGTATGATGGTTAGACTTACGTATCCAGCATGTTGGGATCAGCAAACACAGAGAAAAGGTCCTTGTCCTGAAGAACCCCTGAAAGAGAACAAGATTTCTCTCAGGCAGTGGAAAACTGGCTGGATCCAGAAGGATGAAGAGGCATTAGGTCTCAAAGCAAGTAGCAAAGGGATCCCTAACCAGCCCTCATAAGAGGAGGAGGAGGAGGAAGCAAAGTCCCAAGCACTCTCCATCTTGTTCCAGTGGGAATGCTCCCTACTCTCCACCTGTTCCTGCCCTTAAGCTACACATCAAATACTAACACACAGGTCTCTTTCCCTCGTATCTCTAGGTTCTTCCCTTACCTATCAAGGTGAGCAAGAAGTCTTCCCTGATGGCTGTGGCATGGGCTAACTGTTGCCCCCAGTTGCATCATCCTACCCTCACTTATACTACTTAGGTCATTACTACTGTGAAGGTCTGAGAGCAAGATCTTAGGGGCTAGGCATGCAAAACACATCTTGATCACACTCCCTTTTCCCTCAGCAGCAGTGATTCTTCAAAAAGCTGTCAGAGTCCTCTCTAGCTCCTGGTTTCTCCTTTTCCAAAAGCTCCTATTTCTTCAAATCTTTACTTTCATTTACCCAGAGCAATGGGGTCACTGCTGAGGCCCGGAGTGGCCACAATGATCTGATCCAGAGATTCCTTATTGCCGAGCATCTTAAAGACCTGCAGGAGAAACAAGAAGAATGTGACACTCCAACTAGCTCCACACATTGTCAAATGCCCACACTCTTCTAGACTTCCCCCCTTTGAGTTCTTGGACATATACCACAACAATGGAACATTAACTCCATAAACAGATAAGCCTTTTTCACTCTGAGAACATTATTAGAAGGGAAGAGAAAAAAAAAAAAAGCAAGACCACAGTAACCTCCAGTCTCTGTGGTTCTTTCTCCCACCCATATTTCTAATACTTCTAAATGAAAGCTCTCATTATAAGCCCATAACAGTTTCTCTAAGTTCCAAAAGCCCTTTTTAATATCCATACAATTATTTCATGCTTGTATACCAAGTAATATATGTTCGGAGAGAAGTTCACAGTTGTGTTAATTCTGCCTGTCAACTCTCCTACAGAAAGAGATCAGCCCATTTTCCCAATGAGGAAATCCATACTAAGAGTGTTGTAACAGGCAGTTCACCAAAAGTCAAAGATCAAGTCCCACCAGAAAAGCATCTGGATCCTTTAGCCGTAACCATACTCAGTCCAGGAGGCCAGGCTGAGGAGCGGTGGTATAATTATCATCAGCGGGAATCAACAACCAATACAGGACTGAGAAAGGCTCTGTGGGGAAGGATAGGACTCTACTGAAGCCCACAGACAGCAAAAACTCCCAGAGGAACTCTTGGTTGCCATGGCAATGGGCTTCTTGCTCCCACTTTATGACAGGACTGGTGTTGACACCCTCTCCTGCAGTCCTGGCTCACACTCACCGCCTCCCTGTAGGAGGAGCTGCTGTGCAGGGCAGTGTGCAGCACCCGGAACTCCCTCAGGGCAGCCACTTTGTCCACAGGTTCTGGAGAATAAGACACTTGGTTATCCTACAGCCCAGGCCCAGTCCTTACTCCAAATATGGCAATATCATTTCAGCATTTGCCCAGGTGCAACTTGGTTAACAAAGTCCTTCCCTTGTTGCCACCTAAGAATGTGAACACCAGCTCAAAAGAAACCCATTTGTGCCATAGATGTGAAATTTGTACTCTATGAATTATCTTCAGTACATAAAATAAACAAATTCAAGTTCCAGCAGAGGAGCATCTTGCCACATGAAGGAGGCTTCTCTGATCGACATCCCACTGCAAGAATTCTAGACTTCTTATATTCGAAAATGAAGACTATATAATCAACTCAGTATATTCTTATGCAGGAAGCTAAAATAAGTGCACTCCAAGCCATCTCTAACAATATAGCACTATGCTGACACAATATGTTAAGAGAAAGAAATAGAACACAAAGTTGGATGTGCATTCTCTGGTAAAACTATGTAAATATGTCAGTCTGCATATGGTCCAAGGCTGAAAGGAAGAAGAGAAAGAATAGCACTTATGTAGGTTCATGGGTAACTGTTTCTTCTTTGCTACTTTCCTTCAGATTTCTGTAATATTTTGACTCATAAGAAATACAAAAATTGGGGCTGGAGAGATGGCTCAGTGGTTAAGAGCACTGACTGCTCTTGCAGAGGACCCAGGTTCAATTTCCAGCACCCACATGGTGGCTACGAACCATCCTTAACTCCAGTTCCAGGGGAATCTGAAGCCCTCTCTGACCTCCAAGGCACTGCAAGAGACAGGTGTACTCACATATATGTAGGCAATACACTCATACACATAAAATAAAAATTAAAAAAAAAGAAATACAAAAATTGGGGATTGGAGAGATGGCTGAGTGGCTAAGAGCACTGACTGCTCTTGCAGAGGACCTGGGTTCAGTTCCCAGTACCCATATGGTGGCTAACAATCATCCTTAACTCCAGTTCCAGGGGATCCAACACCATCTTCTGGCCTCCATGAACATTGCATATACATGGTGCATTTATATACATGCACTTACACTCATGCACATAAAATTAAAATCAATTAATTAAAGTTAGTACGTTTATATATTGTTTAATATATAATACATATTAAGTATAAACTATATAGTGATATATAAAATAAAAATAAATAATTTAAAAAAATTTTGTAGCTCCAGCTGCTCTGGAACTTGCTACATTGACCAGGCTAGCCTCAATCTTAGCCTGCCTCTGCCTCTAGAATACTGGGATTAAAGGTGTGCACCATCAAGCCAGGAACACAAAAGGCCACAAATGGTCAAAAAGCAGAGAAAAGAGTTGGCAGAGTGTGGGTCCTTAGACAGAACTCTTATATTGAGGTCCACCCACCCAGGGCTCAGGGACCACTGCGAAAGAGAGGGGCAGAAAGATTCTAAGAGCCAGGGAGAAGGTACATGACCATACAGAAATAGTCCTACAGGCTGCTGGGACCCCTCTCATACAAACTTACAGTAATGGTGTCAGCATACACAAGACTCATGCAAATTTAGGCACACAAAAACCCAGCACAGAACTGTAGAAATGGACAGCAAGCCCCAATCTTAGCCGAAGAATTATAGGCAGCCAATTACTGCTGGGTGAGGAAGAGCTGACCTTCTTAAAGGAAGAGACTCTAGATAAACTGACTAAACCCCGTGGATTAACTCGCACTGAGGGACATCTCGGGACACTAACTTTACATAATGGCCCTTAATACAAATGACAGAATGTATGAACTCCAGCTTGGGGCAGAACACAAACACACACACACACACACGACAGACAGGGCTATGGGAGAATGCCAAAGGGGAAAGGGGTATAAAGATGATTTTATGTATGAAATACACAAAAATTCAATAAAAAAAAATTTTTAAGGTGTGCACCATCACATCTGGGATAAATAAATTAAAAAAAAAAAAGGCAAGAATTGGACTGGATAAAGTATGTGCCCAGCAGCCTGTGCCAAGCTCTGTGTTTGCTCCTAAGTACCAGAAATAGACAAATAAATAAAAATAAGAACAAAGGAAATACACAGTACTTGAAGGCTCTCTGAACAAACTTTTATCACATGCCAAACAGCAAATGTTTAGTGGACCCAAATCTCTCTGTTGATCTCTAGACACTATGATCCACACAAAGTTCAACAACTGTCTCAGTTGCATTTGGTGACCTTACTATCATCATCCCATTTCAGAGGGGAAGAAATCTGAGTAACAGGAAGGAGAATAGGTAGGAAGTACACCCTGGTTATACTTTTTAATGTGGTTACCACATGAAGGACTGTTACCTATGGTCATCTAGGCTCTCACTGACTTTAGGAACACTACTCTAAAAGCAAAGTGAACTGTACTCCTAGAGCTCAGTACATATCATGTCCTCATCTGTAATCCTAATCATAAGGGCTATCTCCTTTGAAAAACAGACACCACAAATAAGTTACCTAATGTACTCCTCATTCGGTAAACTGAATCTGGCTTTGGGCAATCATCACAAGACTGTGAAAAATGAGAATCCCTACCATCAGAAACTCTTGGGGCACTAGAGAAATGAGACTAGATCCAACATGGAAACACACAATTATAAAATACATGCTAAAGACCTGAGCAGAGACATGGATGCCAGTGAGGGTGCTAGCCATCACTGAACAAAGGTAGGATCAAGCTGTCTCCTAGGAGACCATCCAAGAGGGGAACCTAAGGCATAGTAGATGTTTACTGGAAGGAGGAATTCTTCTAAGTGTAAGTGAAAGCATGTACACATGGGAGAAAAAGAATGGGGTGCTTTCTTTTCTTATCTGTATTTGTACGAATGTATTGCCTGTATGTAAGTGCACCCACGTCATGCAATGCCCAGAGGCCAGAAGAGGGCATCAGACCCCCTGGAACTGGAGTTACAGAAGGTTGTTAGCTGCCATGTGGGTGATGAGAACTGAACCCAGGTCCTCTGCTAGAATAGCCAGTGCTCCTAACCACTGGACCATCTCTCCAGTCCCAAAAGAGGTGCTTTGAGGGAATAACAAATCGCTTTTTGTGGTAGAACCTGGGATAATATCTCTGCTCAAATGGAAGACAGAGCAAGATGCTTGGCTGGGAGTGTGGCTCAGTGGTGGAGTACCTGATCTGCTGAAAAATAAAAATTTAGAATTAAGCCAGGTATGGTAGTACATGCCTTTAATCCCTGCACTAGTAAAGTAGAAAAAGGCTTACAAATTCTGGGCTATAAAAGCAAGACCCTGGATCCAAAAAATATGTAAGATAAAATACATAATAAAGTGAAATCCTTAAGGGAACAGTAACCTACAATGGAGAATCACCAAAGTGATCCAAGTAGGAAGAGAGGCAGACAGGTTCTCCTACAGATTAATGTGCTAACTTGGTGGAGGGATATCATATGCTGTGTTTTTGTTGTGTTTTGTGACACAATCTTGGTATGTAGGCCGGGCTAGCCTTTGTTGAGCAACGGTCTTCTCTCAATACAAAAGTCTATCTACCGCCTTCTGGAAAAAGAATGCTGAAGGACAAAACAGATAAAGTACTATCATAAAAAAATTTCTTTTCAAATCTAAATTTATACTCACCTCCCAATAAAAGGTCCATTTGTTCTGTCTCAAAAAGACCAAAAAATAAATAAAAATAAAAATAAACCTCTAGACAAGACGCTGGGAGGAACAAGTTTCTAAATATACTAAAGCACAATCAGCTAAGAGTACTGCGTATCTTTATAACATCTTAGCTCCCTCTTTGGGAAAGAAAGGCAGCCAGTGCTGAGGAAAACACCTGGGCTTTTAAGCCACAAAATTCTGGCTTCTTGAGCATTTCTTTTTAAGTTGGTGTCCTTGATCAAGTATCTTTCCAATCTTTTTTTTCTTTATCTTTAAAATGCTGGCACACTTACCTACCCTACAGGGCCTAATTAAGATACTGAAAGGAATAAAATCTAGTTTGCAGAAACCAGAAACATTCTTTTCCTTCAGTCAATGCCCTCTAGCTGAAGAGCAGAGAGGCAGACCTGTATCTGAACAAGTTGGGTTTACTGCTCACTACACAGAGAAGAATGCATACCACAGAAACTGTGGAGCATCTCAATCAGGGTATTAGACAAGGCACAGGACTTGGGCTTTGATGGGTGATTCTGGGGAAAACAGTTTTGTTCTGGGGATAATTTTATGATCAGGCTCTTAATAGCTTTTATTTAAGAAGGCAAACTAAAGCAAGGTGAAAGTTGTCATTCGCAAAGAGGCAACAGTTACTCTCATTAGCCAGGAAAAAGGAATGTGTGGAGTTTTTGTGGTTTGGACAATGAATGGCTTTGTCTCTGTTTAGAAATGGTAAGAAAGCATTTTTTTTTTTCTTTTCGTCTTTTTGAGACAGGGTCTCCCTGTAGCCCCAGCTGGCCTGAACTCACTATGTAAACCAGGCTGGCCTTAAACTCAGAGAGATCCACCTGCCTCTGCCTCCCAAGTTCTGGGATTAAAGGCATGTACCACCATGCCCAGCTAAGAATCTTGTTTTTGACTTGCTCCATTCTTATCTGATGATGGCGAACTGTATCACTGTTCACCTTCCACAACAGGCCTCCAAAGCCTGGCTGTGACTACCAAACTAATCCCTGGATGTCAGGGGCTGCTTTTCTCTTTCTTGCTTCCCTTAAAGGCAGAAAATTTCTTTCTTCCCTTAATGTTTAGAACTAAAAGAGAATACATTTCAAGATGTTAACTAGTCATACCAAACATGACTATAAAAAAGTCAAACTGTGGGCGTGGTAGCGCAGCCTTTAATCCCAGCAATCGGGAGGCAAGGCAGGTAGATCTCTATGAGTTCAAGGCCAGCCTGGTTTACATAGTGAGTTCCAGGCCAGCTGGGACTACAGGCTACCCTGTCTCAAAAAGACCCCCCCCCCAAAAAAAAGCTGTTGTATGGAATGAGGAAATGTACAAAAGCGCAATTAAAAAAAAAATGCCAGTGTGGTGGCACACGCCTTTGATCCCAGCACTTGGGAGGGAGAGGTAGGCGGATCTCTGTGAGTTCAAGGCCAGCCTGGTCTACACTATGAGTTCCAGAGAGACCCTGTCTCAAAAAGACCAAAAAAAAAAAAAATTCAAACTGCTAGTTTAACAAAGCTAATCACTCTTACATTAGCTTAGCTCTATCCTTGAGGAGGTTTTCAAGACACAAACTTGAAATTTAAATAGTGAATTCCAACAGCACTTTCTACTAATAAATCAAAAAGGCTTTAAGTCTTGTATATTTTCTCCAAAAGCCACTTTAATGCTGTTGGAATATTTCCTGGAAAATAAATTGACAGTTCAGCAGGAGTTAGCTGACTAAACAAATACCACCTGAGGGAGTTTGTGGGAAGATTTGCTCATAAGAGAGCTACACAGCATTAGAAGAGTACTGTAAGTTTCTAGTCCTTTTTTTCTAATAAGTACAGCAACATTAATAAAAGAATATAAATTTTACTGGAAAAATAAACTACTAATCTAAAGAGTTTAAATAGACCAATCCTCCCCACACTATTAGAAAATAGTGGGTAACAGACTTAGAATGTAGAAAAATAAATCTATTATTAGTGGAGCTGGCAGCAAGAAAGTCATAACTTAATTCTATCAGTATTACCTACCCCAGTAAGTAATAAAGATAGCCCTTATCACCACCTCGGTAAATCACCTACCTATTAGTTGCATCCAGGCCTATACTTCCTTGGGCAGAGTTTCCTTGGAGATATTAGGAAGCACTTCCCACCTAATTAAGGACAAACTCTCACTCACCTGGTTTCTGATCAGGCTCAGGCCATGATTTTCGGAGAACATGAACTGTGGACCCAGGCTGAATGCCATAGAAGTCAAGAGTTTGGTCATCTTTTAGCTTCCGGCCACAGTAAATCAGATCTAAAAAAAGAACTGTCCATTTGTATTTTGTTTTTCAAAGCAATTTGGTTTCTGTCCCCTACGAATCTTATTTTGATTAGCTAGCTGGAGAATAATACATGCTAAAAGATACGCTCAGAGGCTAGGCCAATAGCCCAGTGGATAGCTCTGCAAGTATGAAGACCTGAGTTTGAATTCCCAACACCCAAAAAAAAAAGCCAAGCATGGCTGCATGTACCTCTAACTTCAGTATTGGGGGATAGAGGCAAGTTGATGCCAAGAACTTGCTGGTCAGCCAGCCTAGTCAAAACAGCAAACTTCTGGGTCAGTGAGAAACCTTGTCTCAAAGAAATAAGGTAAAGAAAGATAGTGAGTGCCCAAACTCCTGCTCTGGCCTCTTCATGCACGTGCATGAATGAATACCTCTGCACACTCATGTGAATGTAACACAAACACACACACACACACACACACACACACACACACACACACATACAAAATAAGATACTCTCAGCCAGGCACAGTGACACATCAGTAATCCAAGACACCTGAGAGACCGAAGCAGGAGAATTTCAAGTGTGAGGCCAACCTAGGCAATTTAACAAGATCATGCTTCAACATAAAAAAGGGTTTGAGGAGAGGGGGAAGCTGGAGAGATGGCCAAATGGTTAGGAGCACTTGCTGCTCCTCCAGAGAACCCCGGTTCAGTTCCCAGCACCTACTAGGTGACTAACAACCATCTATAACTCTAGTTCCAGGGGATATGACCTTCTCTTCTGGCCTCCATGGGCATTACACACAAACACAGTGCACTTACGTATAGGAAAAATGCTCATATACATAAAATAAAATTAAAAATATATCTAGGGCTGCCAGGTATGGTAGCACATGCCTTTAATCCCAGCACTCAGGAGGCAGAGGCAGGCAGATCTCTGAGTTAGAGGTTAGCCTGGCCTATACAACAAGTTCCAGGCCAGCTGAGGCTACAGGGAGACTCTGTCTCAAAAATACAAATATATATTAATATATTTACCATGAAGTTTCGAAGTACATTAATATATTTGACTTCATTCAATTAAAAAAGGGTGTTCTGCTCTTGCAGAGGACTCCTGAGTTCAATTCCCAGCACCTACATGGCAGCTGCATTACCACCCTCTGGCCTCTGTGGGCATTGCATACACACCAAGTACACATACATGCAAGCAAGCAAAACATTTATACAAATAAAAATAAATCTTTTTAAAAAGAGAGAACTATATCCACTAAAGAGTTCTAGAGCTTAACACTGTAGCAACTGGTCTAAATAAATGGGAAAATGTAACAATCAAAAAGGATGAACCTAATCCATCTGTGACAGCTGTGACATAAAATATCCTTTTTACCAGCTGGAACTCCCTAGCTATTATAAATTACATTACGATATAATTTAGCTATATTATACTTAAATTCCTCTTTCCTCCCCTAGGAATGCCCTTGCCAACCTCTATTCCTATTGTGCTGCCTTTGCTTTATTTTTCTACTTTCTTTCTTCTTTTTTTTTCTTTTTTTTTGCTTTTTGAGACAGAGTCTTCCTATCGCCCCAGCTGGCTTAGGACTCACTACGTAGACCAGGCTGGCCTTGAACTCAGAGATCCTTTTGCCTCTGCCTCCTGAGTGCTGGGATTAAAGGTGTGCACCATCAGGCACACCTTTAATTATTATTTATTATATGTGTGAGTGTATTGCCTAAATGTGTATAAGTACACCAGTGTCACACAATGCCGAGGAGGTTAGGAGGCGGCATTGGATCCCCTGGAACTGGAGTTACAGACAGTTGTGAGCCACCATGTGGGTGCTGAACAGTCAATGTTCTTAACCACTGACCCATCTCTCCAGCCCCATGCCACCTTCCCTTTAATCAACCAATAGGACAAGCAAAAATCCTTCCAATCATCCCATAAGTCTTAACTGCTATACTGAGGAGTCTTGTCTGATCAGCAACTCTTTCTGTAACCTACACCTAATTTTTGTGCTCTCAGAAAGAGCTCAACCATGTCATAGCTAAGAGACATGGTAATGAAGTAGTTCGGAACCACATTACTAAAATGGGTCACCAAGATATTTTGTCATTTGGAGTGTTAATATTATGAGACGACAAATCACAAGTCCTTAATTTACTCTGCCCCAGAAGAGATCAGAGCAGCAACCCAACTCCAACCCACAATGACTTACCAATCAGCTCCGGGTCTGGAACAGATTCCTGGAGTTTTCCAGCAATAAGCTGCTTTAGAAATGAAATGCTATAGCCCCCTAGTGAGTATTCACCTAGTTCTGTCTCTGGCAACTGAAGAATAGATTTTGGGGCAAGTGGCTGGTCAGCCAGCTTCACAGCCAGATGCCAGTCTGAGAGAGACATCCTCTCTCTTTCGCGCGCTCTCTTTTTCCCTGTAAAAGAATAAGATGTAGACTGTTAAATGACAGCCATCCTGTCTCCCTCCTGCAAATACAAGATGCAACATTAGGAGACCAGCACTACAACCTGGAGCCCTCTCTTTTTCATCGTGCAGTAGACAGCCTCAGTTTCTTCCCTTTTAAATTTATTTTATTATTTTATGTGTGAGTGTTTTGCCTGCATATATATAAGTGCACTCATATCATACGGAACCCACAGAAACCAGAAGAGGGCATTGGATCCCCTGTAACTGAAGTTACAGATGGTTCTTAGCTGTCATGTGGGTGTTGGGAATTGAAGCCTAGTCTTCTGATAGAGCAGTCAGTGCCCCCTTCTTCACTTAAAAGTGGACCTAAACTACTATCACACTGGATAGGAATGTTCTGAAGTTCAAGCAAGATCATCCAACTCTCTCCCTTCTCCATACTCACTTCAGATGTTCTTCAACTTTTACTGTAATTATTACAACAGCTTTGTAACAAGTCCCTGCCTTTCTTGCCTCTCTGTATCAAAAAATCTATGCAGCTGGGGGTTGGAGAAATGGCTCAGTGGTTAAAAGCACTGGCTGCTCTAGCAGAGCACAGTCATCTGTAATTCCAGTTCCAGAGAATCCAATGCCCTCGTCTGGCCTCCACGAGCACTGCATGCATGCACTTACATACATGTAAGCAAAACACTTATCCACATAAAAATTTAGACCCATTCATTTTGACTCCTGCCACTTTCCTTCCCATCAGACCCTAGTCCTGCCCCATTATCACAACAGGTTAGGTACACTTCAAAACAAAGTTGTCCCCCTTCTTACACCTCTGTTCATCTTCTGTCTTATATGTAATAATTCTCTTCTCTTTTTAGCCTCTTAGTAATTCCTACCAAGACCCACACAAACACACCTCCACTGTACCTTCTTTTTCTCTTAGGCAAAAGAGTAACAGAAATGAATAGATTTGGGGCCAAGTGGGCCAAGTTTCACTAATAGATGACTGCCTGGGAGAGACATCCTCTCTTTAACGCTTTTTCCTTATAAAACTTTCTCAATTTCCCTCCCACCCCCCCCACCCCCGTCACCTGTGCCCCCAATTCTTGAAAGCCTTAGAGGCAAAGACTAGAATTTTTCATTTTCATTGACCCCAAGCCTGGCACACATGAATGCTCACAAAATAAACCTGAAAACTCTGAGGATGCAAGGCAAGCCCTTGTTAAGAGTCCTTTCTGCTTTGAAAGAAACCTCTAGTCGAAACAAGGAAAAGCAAAGTCAGGAGGCTACCCAGCAGAACTCAAGGTACTATCCACCACCAAATTTAAAACAGGAGTCGGTCTTTCGTATACCGATCTCCATCCTCACAACTGTCCCCTCGAGCAGGCACTGTCATCTGCATTTTACAGATCAGGTGAAGACTCAGAAAGGCGAAGTCACTGGGCCCAAGGTCACAGATACCTAGTAGTAGGTCCCAGGGACACTGTTGACACCCCCACCTCTCCCATGGTACCAGTTAGGGAGTTCACCCAGCAGAGCCCGCACGCCCAGGGGCCCAGCGCCCTCACCCGTCCCGCGGAAGGAACCCGGCCGCAAAAAGCCGCCGGTGTAAACACTCACTCAGGCCCTCGCGCCAAAAACCGGAAGTTTCGCGCTGCGTTCTGGGAGTGGTAGTTTCCGCTGCGACCCGCCCCTGCTAAATGGTGGGCTGGCTAAGTGGGCTAGTGGTAATGCTTCCGGTTCCTAGGAGGCGTAGCTTTCGAGCTGTTTGAAATCCCCGCGCGAGGGAGTCTGGTTTCTGTTCTACCTGACTGCACCAGCTGAGACAGGGCCAAAAGGCTTAGGCTGGAAGGCGAACTTCCTTCCAGAGTGGACCTACTTCCCGCCGCGCTCCAGTGGAAACCTCTGTCCCGGCGTAGTCAGCCTCGGGTGCTCCTCGCTGCCGACTACTCCCAAAGAACCTACCTTGTGGTGGCGCACCAAGGTTCCAAAAATTGAGTCCTTAAGAGGACTTAACCAAGTCAGCTTTCTGGCACACTGTGAACATGCAACAATGGGGTTTATATTCATAGAATCAGTGGGGAGGGGAATTTCCACTGAACTTCATAGAGAAACTGCCTGTTTTAGATGATTGAAATACTTCTGCATGTTTCAAGGCATAAGAGAATTAGCTAAAAATCAGAGACTACTCATGACTTTAGTTCAAGGGGCTGGAGAGACGGCTCAATGGTAAGAGCACTGGCTCCTCTTGCAGAGGACCCAGGTTCGGTTCCCAGCACCCACGTGGCAGCTAATAACTGTCCCCAACTCCAGATCCAGAGATCTGATGCCCTCTTCTGACCTCCAGGGGCATTGCACAAACATTATGGGTTTCTACACATCTAAGCCAAACACTCATACACCTAAAAAGAAAATCAAGGGGCAGGAGATAAGGCTCAGCAGTTAAGAGCGCTGGTTGGAAAACCAGAGGACCTGGTTCAGTTCCCAGTACCACCATGGCAGCTCACAACTGTCCAGTTACTTCAGTTCCAGGATCCGATGCCCTCTTCTGTTCTGACCTCCCCAGGCATTGCAAGATAGGGGTGCACTTACATACATGCAGGCAATACACTCATACACATAAAAATAATTAAAAAAAAAAATTTTAAATAGCCAGGCATGGTGGTGCACGCCTTTAGGAGGCAGAGGCAGGTGAATCTCTGTGGGTACAGGGCTAGCCTGGTCTACAACGTTTCAGGCCAGCTGGGGCTACAGGGAGACCCTGTCTCAAAAAGACCGGAAAAAAAAAAAAGCGTTAGATGATCACTTATTAAACTTTCAAGAGATTATTTGTCCTAGTCAGTAATTCTATTGGAAACAAAGTGTTAGAATGGACATTTGCCTTTTTAGTATTTTGGGGGAGTGGGATGTGAGTTCATTTGTGTGGGTGCAGGGGCATGTGTTCTATGGTGCACATGTGGCGGTCAGAGGACAACCTTGGGGTGTTGGTCCTGACTTTGACACTTTGTTTGAGACAGGGTCTCGTCTTTGCTATGTAAGCCACATTAGATGGCCCAGGAGTTTCTGTAGCACCTCCTGTCTCAGCTGCCCATCTCCGGGTATGGATGTGCTGGAATTATAGATGCTTGTGCTGCTTCGTCTGGCTTTTACATGGGCTCTGGGGATCCAAACTCAAGTTGTCAGGCTTGTGAGACAAGTGCTTTTACACACTAAGCTGTCTCCCCAGCCCAACATTTACATTTTTTAAATAACACTTCAAGTTTATAAAGATATGAGGATTTCTGGGTCTCACAAGATAGCAAATGAACATCATCTATAAATATTCCTGCCTGCTACAAATACAAGTGTTATATAAAATACACTTCTCAAAAGTCACATAGCTATAATTACAGGAGCATCAGGAAATCAGATGCCAAAAATAAAAGGGGAACCAAAAAGAGCAATGAGCTTGAAGGCTGATGAGCACCTCCCCAGAAAGAGCTGTGGTTCTGGAAATCTTGCTTGGGAGTTTTTGTTTTAATACCAAAGCACTGGGCCCCTCCAAGGTAGAAATTGAACCTTTCTGAATGAAGTTGAAACTCTTAAAATATTTGCACCCCAAGTTAAAAAATAATAATTATGAACTAAAGAAGACAAGAAAAATTGTCTCTGCTTGACTCTGAGAAGAGGGTACCAGGAAGGGTATCTGTGTTCAAAGAGTTGTCATCTCCTAGAATCTGAAACATCAAGCTTGTGCTTTGTATAAGTTTGAGGTCAAACTTTCTAAGAGTGTCCAGGAATATCTGTAATTTGTCCCGTAAATCTTGACAAGCCAAATATCAATTTCTGGAGTAGCATTACCAACACCCATACCATCCAAAGATGTGTCACACAAAGACATATTCATGGAAATAGATTATTAAAAAAAATACACTCTCCCTCTCCCCAAAAAAGGCAACAGGAAAACAAGAGTTGACAGCACCAAAAATGTCAAATTGACACCAAAAATGTCAATTAAGTGTTCTTAACCACTGGAGAGATGGATCAGCAGTTAAGAGCACTGGCTGCTCTTGCAGAAGACCCAGGTTGAAATCCTAGCACCAACATGGCAGCTAACTATAACTCCAGTTCCAAGGGATCTGACCCCCTCTTCTGTCCTCCTCAGGCATTGCATGACACAGCTGCACTTGCATACTTGCATACATGCACACAATACACATATCGGCATAAAATGAAAATAAAGAAAATTTTTTAAAGATGCATTAGTAGCTGGGTGTCGCGGCACACACCTTTAATCCTAGCAGAGGCAGGCAGATCTCTGTGAATTCAAGGCCAGCCTGGTCTACGTAGTGAGTTTCAGACCAGCTGGGGCTACATGGAGACCCTGTCTCAAAAAGACCAAAAAAAAAAAAAAAAAAAAAGATGAATTAGATTGGCTTCCACCACACAGTCATAATAGTCCAATAATGGCTGTTTCATACCAGAGGGGCTAAGGACCCTGTAGTTGCTCAGTCAACGAGGCTGAGTGCCTCAGTCTTAATCTGCTGCCAAAGGCTTTAAGGATTCCTAGAGAACTGCTGGTCTACAGTCCACATTAGAAGCCCAAAGAAGCTAGTTCTAAAGCTGGGCATGGTCAAACACGCCTTTAATCCCAGCACTTGGGTGGCAGAGGCAGGCAGATCATTTTGAGTTTGAGACCAACCTGGTCCACTTAGCGAGTTCCAGGCCAGCTGGGGCTACAGGGAGATCCTGTCTCAAAAAGACAAAAAGAAGAAAAAGAAGTTAGTTCTAGTTTCAGTGAAAGAATTAGCAGTGGCAGCAATAGGGTACATGAACTTGCCAGTGACAGTGAAGGCCAAGAGAGCAAAAAAGCAAAAAGTAGCCCTTCTATGTCTTTTTATTGGGGCCACTACCAGAAGGTGCTGCCTATGTTTTAGGGTGGGTCTTCCCACATTAATTAAGCTAATCGAGACAATCCACCCACAAACATGTCCCAGACCAATCCAGTGTAGACAATCCCTCAATAAGACTCTCTTCCCACGTGTGATGGCTAATGTTGGTCATCAACTTCACACACCTGAGAAGAGAGAATATCAATTGAGGAATTTCCTCCATCAGATTGGCCTATGGATGTGTCTGGGGCATTTTCTTGATTGCTAATGATGTAGGTGGGCAAGCCCACTGTGGGTGATTCCATCCTTAGGCAGGTGGGCCTAAGCTGTATAAGAAAGTTAGCTAAACATGAGCCTGAGAGCCAGCCAGTAAGTATGGTCTCTATTTCAGTTCCTGCTTGAGTTCTTGCCCTGACTTCCCTCAGTGATGGACTATGACATGGTAGATATAAGCTAAAATAAACCCTGTTCTCCCCAAGTTGTTTTTGCTCATGGTGTTTATCATACCAACAAAAAACCAAACTAAAACTCAGGTGCTTCTAGGTTGTGAAAGTTGACTATTAAAGCTAACCATCTCAGTTGGGCCTGGTAATGCATGTCTGCAATCCTAGTACTTGGGAAGTAGAGGCATCAAAATGAAGGCATTCATCCTCAGCTACACTGAGAGTTTTAGGTTAGCGTGGATTATGTTACAGCCGATCTCAAAAAACTTTTCTCTTAAATTTCAATAATTTTTATAAAATTTTACTTTGATGGTTAGTGCTCTTTGTGCCCTATTTAAGAAATCTTTACCTCAGGCTGGAGAGATGGCTCAGCAGTTAAGAACACTGACTGTTCTTGCAGAAGACCCAGGTTTGAATCCCAGTACCCACATGGCAGCTAACAACTGTCCATAACTCCAGTTCCAGGGGATCTATCTGACAGCCTCTTCTGTCCTCCGCAGGCATTGCATGACATTGGTGCCCTTACCTACATGCACGCAATACACACATAAAAGAAAAATAATAAAACATTTTTTTTAAAAGTTAGATGGCCTCAATTAAAAAAAAAAGAAATCTTTACCTGCTTAATTTTGAAGATAATCTCCTGTGTTCCATAAGCATTTTATTTGCCTGCCCCCTCCCCTCCCGCCCCGTACTGAGGATCAAACCAGGGTCTTGTACTAAGCAAGTACTCTACCCCTGAGCTACTCTGCATACCCCTTCTATCACTGCCCTTTCAATAAGTTTTAATGTTTTATCTTTCACACTTACATGGTTTTTTTTTTTGGTTTTGTTTTGATTTTTTGAAACAGGGTCTCATGAAACCTGGCCTTGAACTTGATATATAGCTGAGATTACTTGATAGTTTTACTTGTAACTTGACACACCTGGTTAGAAGGATCCTCAGTTGAGGAATTTTCTCCATTGAATTGGCCTGTGGTCCTGTCTGTGGGACATTTTCTTGATTGTTGAGTGATGTGGGAGGGTTCAGGTGACTGTGGACGGTGCCACCCTTGGGCAGGTGTTCCCGTATTGAATTTTTAAAAAAAGTCTTTAATCTCATAACTCGGGAGGCAGAGGCAGGCGGATCTCTGTGAATTCAAGGCCAGCCTGGTCTACATAGTGAGTTCCAGGCCAGCTGCGGCTACAGGGAGACCCTGTTTCAAAAAGACAAAAAAAAAAAAAAAGTCTGAGCAAAGGACAGGGGAGCAAGCCAGTAAAAACCAGTAAGAAGCATTCCTCCATGGTCTGTGCTCCAAGCTCCTGCCCTGAGTTCCTGCCTTGGCTTCCCTTGATGATGGACTGTGCTGTAAGCCAAAC